TATCACTACGGAAGTAGATTGCCCAACCTTCCTTCCGAGGAGTGGCTGGTGGGTTTGAACCGCCAGCCTTCTTGTTAGCAGTCAAGTGCATATGAGGACATTGAAAAAATACAATGGCTTGGGTTAGGTGGACCACACCTTACTCTTCAAGGAGCATCTTTGCTCTTGAGCACTTTAAAGACGTCTTTTGCAGCAGATTTGCCCAGTGTGATACATTGTCTGATGTCTTGATCATACTCACCCTTAAGGAGCATTCTGGCTGCACTTCCTCCAGGACAGACCTCTTAGTTCTTTTCTTTCATCAGTCCTTGGTCTTTCAGCATTCTTCGCCAACACCACAGCTCAAAAGCATCAATTCTTCCCTGGTCTTCCTTATTTATGGTCCAGCTCTCACAAGCATATGAGGTGATTGAAAATACCATGGCTTGTGTCAGGTGCACCTTAGCCCTCAAGGGGACATCTTTACTCTTCAGCACTTGAAAGAGGTCCTTTGCAGCCAATTTGCCCTGTGCTATATGTTGTCTGATGTCCTGACTGCTGTTTCCATTGGAGTTGATTGTAGAACCAAGCAATATGAAGTCTTTGACAACTTTAATCTTTTTAAATGCTATATATTTATTGTGATGCTTCTCATTGGTCTCATGTGATGCTTTTCATTTTCTTTATGTTGAGATGTAATCCACTGCAGACTGAAGTCTTCAATCTTCATCAGTAAGTGCTTCAAGTCATTCTCACTTTCAGCAAGCAAAGTTGTGTCATCTGCATACCGCAGGTTGTTAAATGAGTTTTCCTCCAAGCCTGATGCCATTCTCTTCTTCATATAGTACAGCTTCTCAGATTATTTGTTCAGCATAGAGATTGAATAAGTATGGTGAATGGATACAACCCTGACCCACTCCCTTCTTGATTTTTAAACCATGTAGTATCCCCTTGTTCTGTTCAAATGACAGTCTCCTGGTCTATGTACAGTTTCTTGATGAGCACAATCAAGTGTTCTAGAATTCCCATTCTTCTCAATGTTATCTATAATTTGTTATGATCCACACAATCAAATTTTTTGCATAGTCAATAAAACACAAGTAAACATCTTTCTGGTATTTTTTGCTTTCAGCCAAGATCCATCTGACATCAGCCATGATATCCCTTATTCCCCATCCTTTTCTAAATCCAGCTTGCACCTCTGGAAGTTCTCTGTCAATATACTGCTGCAACCATTTTTTAATTATTTTCAGCAAGAGTTTTACTTGTGTGTGATATTAATGATTTTTTTATAGTTTCCACATTCTGTGGGATCACCCTTCTTTGGAATGGGTACAAATATGAATCTTTTCCAGTCAATTGGCCAGGTAGCTGTCTTTCAAATTTCTTGGCATGGGTGAGTGAGTGCCTCCAGCATGGCATCCATTGGTTGAAACATCTCAACAAGTATTCCATCAATTCCTGGGCCTTGTTTTTCACTGATTCCTTCAGTGTAGCTTTGATTTCTTCCTTAAATACCACTTTTGTTTGTTTTTGTTGTTGTTGTTCTGTGCCATCAAGTCATCTCCAACACATAGTGACCCTATGAACAGCAGAATGAAACACCGGCTGGTCCTGCGTCAGCTCCATGATTCTTGCTATCCTTGAACCCATTGCCACTGCTACCTTGTCAATCCATCTCGTTGAGACCCTTCCCATCTTTCATTGACTCTCCACCTTACCAAACATGACATTCTTCTCCAGTGAATGGTCCCTCTGACAGCATGACCAAAGTATGTGAGATGAAGTGTGGCCATTCTCACCTCCAAGGAGCATTCTGGCTGCACTTTCTCCAGGACAGACCTCTTAGTTCTTTCATCAGTCCTTGGTCTTTCAGCATTCTTCACCAACACCACAGCTCAAAAGCATCAATTCTTCTTCAGTCTTCCTTATTCATTGTCTAGCTTACACAAGCATATGAGGTGATTGAACATACCATGGCTTGTGTCAGGTGCACCTTAGTCCTCAAGGAGACATCTTTGCTCTTTAGCACTTGAAAGAGGTCCTTTGCAGCTGTTTTGCTCCATGCTATACATTGTCTGAAGTCCTGACTGCTGCTTCCACTGGCATCGATTGTAGAACCAAGCAATGTGAAGTCTTTGACAACTTCAATCTTTTCTCCATTTATCATAATGTTGCTCATTGGTCCAGTTGTGAGGATTTTCGCTTTCTTTATGTTGAGATGTAATCCACTGCAGACTGTATTCTTCAATCTTCATCAGTAAGTGCTTCAAGTCATTCTCACTTTCAGCAAGCAAAATTGTGTCATCAGCATATTGCAGGTTGTTAAT